GTACCAGATAATTTTTCTTTCTTTCTTATTTACTTTATTTAACCACATGATTCTCATATAAAAGATATATTTAAATTAATTCATTTCATAAAAAAAATTCTAACCTCAATCACTTAATGTTTTTTACTTTTATTAATTTTAATATTTTTTTAGTATACATGTCTTGAATGTAATTTATTTGATGATGAAGACAAGAATCAATATCACTGTTCAGGTTGTGGTATATGTCGAGTAGGAGGTTCGGACCGTTTCTTCCATTGCGAAACATGTAATATGTGTCTTCCTATTCAACTCCAAAACGGCCACAAGGTAAATAATAACAAATATTGCGATTAACTTAAATGTAAATTTTAATTAAAAGCTATAATAAAATTGGTATGTTTGTATTTTGGGGAATGGTACACTCGCAATTGCGTTTTGTCGCCATCGTCATCGTCAACAGACCGAATGTGGGCTATTTAACGCGTTATCTTTATGGTTGGGCAAATAAAATTATTATTATTGCACCTATTGAAGCCGGTTCTAACCTATATTTGGCGCAGGTTTATTGTCATTATTGCTATTGATCAACTATATTCAGACTTTGATTATCTTATTTTGGAATGTCTAATAATGTAGAAAAAAATATGTTATGTAATTTAATGTTGTGGGTTGGGTCTAGACATAAAAGGACTTTTTTTATAATAAATTCGTTTCTTAATTTTTTTTTGTAACATATTTTCTTTTTTTTTCTTAGTGTGTGGAAAATGTATCACGTGCCAATTGTCCAGTATGTTTAGAAGATATCCACACGTCGCGGATACCGTGCCATATACCAGCCTGTGGTCATCTTTTACATAGAACATGTTTTGAACAATTATTAAAAGCGGGACATTACGCTTGCCCAATTTGTCAAACTTCTGTAATGGACATGACGGAATTGTGGAAATTTCTCGATGATGAAGTAGCCCACACTCCTATGCCACAAGAATATAGAAATTATATGGCGGCTATTTTATGTAAAGACTGTCACACGGTAAAAAATATTTGTATTTATTAACCCTTCGGCGAGCGCGTCTCATAGAAAGTGATAAAATAAAAAAATTTTGATATCTAAACATCAACTAATCATTTGAATTGCTAATTGCAGAAAGGATATATGTCAATAAAACTTGGGTTTGAGAAAAACTGGAAATTGCAAATTTTCTTCTGGCTAGTAAAAATATCAACTAGTATCAGTTTTTTTTGACATAGATCATAAAAATAAATTTGTGTAATTAATTTTTAGTAAGATTTAATGATCAAAATCTTATACTCTTTCTGCACTCAACTCCAAAGTTAATAAAAAAGAGGGATATTTTCCAAGAAACAGTTTATTCAACTAAATACAAGAACAAAAACTAAACTTACAATGATAAATACCAACTCAAAGCTACATTTTAGAAACTGCAGTCTTTCTATGCAGTTTGGGCAATAATATCCTTTTCAACTATTACATGAATCATGACTTTCTGTTTTGAAGTAGAGTTTGCTATTATCTCTACATATTGTAGAGTATAAACACGATCATACTTTTTTAATTTTCGCTTAATGTGGGAAAAATCTCTATCACAAGGTAGAAATGAGTGTCCTCTAATAGGAAAGTATTGTTCTATTTTGTTATATCTACGTGTATCTGTTAAATAAAGACTCATTCGAATAAGAGTTATTTTTGTTCTGTCCAGGATCGTTGTCACTGAACAAGTGTAACTCTTTGACATTATCAGGTATATAATTTCCAATATATTGATACAGAAAATCATTGGGCCTCTTTTTGGCGTTACCTTCATGACATATAAAATATACAACTGTCGTCATGTTATGAATACAGAACAAACTGACGGTTAATTGCCTTAAATAAAAAAGAGATCCTGTATAGGAATTTTTGGTAGCTGCAAATTTTGCATAAAGTCGGAAGCTAATGCTACAACATTATTATTTTCTTTTGATAGTGCTATTGATTCCTATAAAGTCGTATAAAATTTTTTACTACCTCTTTTATGGATAATCATTTCTGCCACATCAGCTTGTTTAACATTTTCGCTTAGACTTTTACTCTTTATTTTTATTAAAATGGTTATCGCATGTGCATAATGTATCTACTTGCTGCCTACCAAATTTAAGATCAAAACCTTCTCTGAATGAAACATTGAATAGATAGTTTTCACAGTTAATTCTGAATTCGGGTTGTGATATTCTTTTGGTGAGCAATGGGACGTTTTTACAGGAAATGAAAAAATATGTTCGTGAATTCGTATTTTATCTACAGAACTGATCGCATTAGCAGTAGTCTGTTTCCCTGTTTTATCTTTAGGTGTCATGCCTTTTTGTAATAATTGCTGAAGGCGCTGTAATCTTTTATTACTTATTGAATGCAAGCTTAAAATGCATTTTTACATATCATTCGTCTTTCATTCATTAGGAAAAGGTAATATTTAAATGTCGAATTACGCAATTCTTCTGTCTTGCTGTTTGTATTTTTCCGTGGACGACGCTCTTTGGATGACACCTCTTTTACGTTTAGTCCCAGTTAATTTCTCCATAATTTCAAAAATACACACTTTTAACTGACTTACAACATGCAAGAATCACGAAAACTGTACACTACACGATTCACGTTCTCCAAAATGCATGCAGTTGGCTGCAGAAGAGATACAAGTAATTGATTACTACCCTTTCTGCGCTCAGTGGTGAATAATTGAGGTGTTTTGAGACAAATGATATGTAATATACGTTTTCAAGAAAATCTCAAAATGACCGAAATACTGACTTGTATCCTTTCTGCACTCATCGATTCATTTATTTTAACAAGAACATGTGTTGAAACAAAAACGAAAATGCAATAATAGAAAAACCTGTCTTCTTCCATTTGATAATGGACGCAATAATTATTGTCAGGAACAATGGTAAAATATGTGAAAAATTAAACATTTATTAATAACAAAACATTAAACTTCTCTTCAGACGTCTTCTTCCATTTGGCAACAAGTATCTCAAATGGCAGTCTTTTTTGAGTGATTTTTNTTAGCAGTAGTCTGTTTCCCTGTTTTATCTTTAGGTGTCATGCCTTTTTGTAATAATTGCTGAAGGCGCTGTAATCTTTTATTACTTATTGAATGCAAGCTTAAAATGCATTTTTACATATCATTCGTCTTTCATTCATTAGGAAAAGGTAATATTTAAATGTCGAATTACGCAATTCTTCTGTCTTGCTGTTTGTATTTTTCCGTGGACGACGCTCTTTGGATGACACCTCTTTTACGTTTAGTCCCAGTTAATTTCTCCATAATTTCAAAAATACACACTTTTAACTGACTTACAACATGCAAGAATCACGAAAACTGTACACTACACGATTCACGTTCTCCAAAATGCATGCAGTTGGCTGCAGAAGAGATACAAGTAATTGATTACTACCCTTTCTGCGCTCAGTGGTGAATAATTGAGGTGTTTTGAGACAAATGATATGTAATATACGTTTTCAAGAAAATCTCAAAATGACCGAAATACTGACTTGTATCCTTTCTGCACTCATCGATTCATTTATTTTAACAAGAACATGTGTTGAAACAAAAACGAAAATGCAATAATAGAAAAACCTGTCTTCTTCCATTTGATAATGGACGCAATAATTATTGTCAGGAACAATGGTAAAATAAGTGAAAAATTAAACATTTATTAATAACAAAACATTAAACTTCTCTTCAGACGTCTTCTTCCATTTGGCAACAAGTATCTCAAATGGCAGTCTTTTTTGAGTGATTTTTGTAAACAAATTGATGACATGTACTACAACTGTAGTTTTTTATGGGCATTACAAAGTTTGCACCTGCCACTTCTATTTTAGTTTACTGCTAAGGGTACCTCCGGTATCTCTCGATATTGGGAAAGAAATTCTACCAAATCTTTTGGAAGTGTCTGAATTTTGGCTCGTGCTCTCATATGTTCTTCCATAAGAGCCAA